GACTTATTGCTGCTGTTTTGGATCGGTCACGATCCTGGTGCAAAGTTTTACACCGCTTGTATTCCTCCGAGTTCTTGCAAACCCGGGCTCATAACCAGTTGAAAAGTATCGCCTGATTGTCGGAAGGTAGAACTACCGGAGGAATAGGTATCAAGGGGTGGAACCAATACGTGTGTGTTGATTGAGTTGGTTAACTACTGTTGCAATCCGAAAGCTCTTGTGTTGCGGATTCTCCGCATCACCTGACTTCCTCCTGCTACATCTGTCACCCTGACTGCCATATTGTAACACTAACCTACTAATTAATTATAGGGTTATATCTTATAAACTAGGAAAGTCTTAAGATAATATTATATCCTTTAAAGTCTATAAGTTACATTTTAAGAGTTCTTAACTAGTCTTTTAAGGTATAAGGTAACTCGAGTCCTTTCTTTATTATAATAGTTTACTTATTTAGTAGAATAATTAACTTTATTATAATAGGAATAATAGAATTTTTCTAAAAGGTTCTAGCTTTTAAAGCTAATATATAAATACTAGATACTATAGTATTAAGTATAAAGATAATCTTATAGATATTATTATAAGGTCTAATAGTTCTATATAATATAAAAAGACTACTATCTAGAGTAGTAAAGTATTTAGTCTTTTCTTCTAGTAAAGATCTAGTAATTATATTTATATCTATACTTATAACTAGGTTCTCTTCTTTATTAGAGGCCTTAGAAGGTAAGGAAGTTACCTTAGTTATAATCTTATCTACTAGTTTTTTAAACGGCATTCTCTAGTATAGTAGCTAGGCTTATTATAGGAATAGTAAGTAACTTTTAACTTATCCTATTTACCCTTTCCTTTATTATTACCCTTACCTTTTTTCTTCTTACCTATTATATTAAGGGATTCGATAGTTATATTTAGGTTCTTACTTTAGTTCTTTCTTTTATAATAGAAATAAACCTTATTAAGAGTAATAGCCCTATTAATATAATTATCTTTTAGGGTATTTAAGAGTAAATAAAGCTATATATCTAGAGTATCTCTTATATCTTCTTAAAGGCTATCTCTATACCTTCTAAAAAAAGTTTTAAGAAATAGGATAGGGATAAGTTTATATAAAAGGGTTTATAAGTCCCTTATAAAAGCCTTAGCTAAACTAGTCTATCTTATATACTTAAATCGTCTCTTTTTAATTTTTATCTAATTAAGGTCTATATAATAGTACTAGATCTTTAATAATTAGGCTATAAAAGAATTAACTATAAGGTATTCTTACTAGTAATTAAATAGGTCTTCTTTTAGATAGGAAGAAGTAAGGTAGTTCTTTTTATTATCTTATAATAGTCTATAAAAGATAAAGTCCTTTTATAAACCTATCCAGTTTTTAAGTTAGGTAATCTAATTATCTACTTTTTTATTCTTTATCTTTTTTTTAAAGATAGGAGGTTTCTAAATAGGTACTTTTAGATAATACTTATACTCTCTAGTAGTAGTTATAAAGCTAGAAATAGAAAAAGTATCTTATTATATTAGCTCTAGCTATAAAGGAAGTAGAGGCGCCTATTATAGAGGCTATTATAGACTAGGTTAGTTCCTTACCTAGTATTCTATATATTTAGCCTCTTAGTTTAGGTAGTTCTACTCTATATAGTAGAGGATCTTAAGTAGTTCTTTATAGGTTATTAATAAAGGGTCTTAAGGTTCTTAACTAACTTATTATAGCCTAGTTATAGGTCTTTTAACTAGTTAATAGCTAGTTATAGATCCCTTTAGCTAGGTATAGCTAGTTATAGGGTTATAGTAAAGATCGGGTTCTATTAGAATATAAGAGAGTTATATAAGTAAGAGATATAAAGAAGTTTTAAAGAGGCTAAAGTACTATATTAGTAATACTATACTATCTAGTCCTTTTATAAGAAGGGATATCCTTCTTATATTAATTAGAGTTCTTCTAGCTAGAAAGACTACTTAGATCTATCTTATAACTCTTTATAGACATATGTTTATCTTTAGTAGAATAGAAAGCTATAAGCTTAGCTTAAAGATAAATGCCTTACTACTCTTATTCTTAAAGTTATAGGGGTTATAGCTAATTATAAGAAAAGTATAGTTATAGACTAAGGGAAGCTAATGTTAGCTTATTCTTATAACTATATTATATCCTTATAACTCTTATAAGTTAACTAATAAGGAGCGTAATAGCGATACTAGCGTTATATAGGGTTAAGATAGTCGTAAGTCTACCTTTTAAGGGCTTTAGAGGGTACCCTAGGCTATAGAGGCCTTTTAGAGCTTAGCTACTAGATATAATTACTAAAGGAACTTAATTTTTTTAGACTACTAGCGCATAGCACGGTTATATACTAAATCCGCTAAGTAATGGCTTACTCCGGCTTCGTAATAATACTGTTAGTTTGCTAGTTATAGTGATGACCCTGTTAAGCCTACTGAATCGCTGCCTCGCACGTGATCTTGGCGCATCGGCTGAACCCTGGACTGAGTCTATCGGCCCGAGCCATGTAGCCCTATATTCTCAACAGGCGTTCGCATGCCTGCTGAAAGTGTCTTTCTTCAGCTGACCCGTGAAGCGCCCTATCGCACATGCGCACATGTCCGTGGGTGAGACATATATCAGCTCGGCCGCTCCAACACAAATGCCTCCCTCCATTTTGCCCTACCCTTCGGTCAACGATCAGCTGTCCGAAAATTTTCTGGCCTGTCTCGGCTGCGCCAAGTCAAAATCGAAATGCGAAAAGAAGGTTTCAGAAAGACCATGGTAGTAACATCTGGAGTATAAGCTGAGAGCTGTCAGTTCCCTTGTTCTCGATGTCTGAGGCAAGATATCACATGTGAGCCACGGTTGAGCAAGCGAGGACCAGGCCGGTCTGCCACGGTCTCGCGTGGGAGACAGCGGCCATCAAAACGCAATAACGCAACAGATCGCGCTGGGATGAGCAACACACCGGCTGTAAATGATGACCAAGACGACTATCTCAGGTTCGAACAATGGGGCAATTGTTTCACCGAACCGCTCTCTGGTCCATCCAATCTTGGTGGAGCTCCATTCTCTGCTCCCAATGCCGCAACGAATGACTGTTGGGATTTTTGTCTGGCACCAACATCACACGACGCGTCTTTTGACATAATGAACATGCAAGACTTGGATGCAAATAATGGCACACAACATATCGGGGATCTGTTCAGCACCGATCTAACATCCGGATCTCATTCATTGTGTTCACAATTGCTTAACCCTCCAGCAATTCTCAACGATATCCAACTGGATTTAGCCAGCGAGGCTGCGCCGCACTCTGCATTGCGTGTTGTAGATAAATTCGCTACAGGCCAAACTCTGTTACTCGACGCGTGGCCTATCTTTGAGTGCAATCCTGTTGTGGATACTGCTTCATGTCCGACAACTGCGCCAGGTCATCTGCGCAACCTCTATGATGCATTGAGTGGCCAGTGTATTTCCTGCAACACAAAGTCACAAGAAGCGGCGAAGATCGAGCCTTTCGTCTTTGGCACGCGAGACAAATTGATTGCGACTGTGCAACGCTTCTCTGACAAGGCGCAGCGAATTCATGGCTTGCTGTCCGAACAGCATTCGAAGGCGATAGCGACTCAGCTTTCTTTCATTCTTCCTGCTCCCCCTGTGCTAGATTCGCTGCTGTCAGCATGCCACAGGTTATACGAGCTACACTATCCTTTTCTCTCCGCTGTGGCTATGAAAACGAACGAGCTTCTCAATAAAGAAGTTGACCCGGTCATCACTAGCTTGAAACTGCTTCTCATGATGTCTGCTGGTGCAATGACTCCAGCGGCTAGTGATAACCATCGAATTGCACAGGGTCTTTTGGAAATCAGTCGAGTGTTTCTGAATCATATCGTCGATGAAGACGTCAGGGTTGTCTCCAATCCAGATCTATTACAATGCGCTCTTGGATTCAACATTGTTGCTGCCTGGAGTGGTGACAAATGGCAAATGGATGTATGCAAAGTTCTCGCTCGCACAGATATGTTCATCAGCTGACGAAGCCGGTCTTGCTAGGCTTCAATCTATCAAAAAGCAATGTACATCGAGGTGCGCAGAAATCTCCTCATGCAGATCCCCGACTGACATCAAGCCCTAGATGATTCGCAGATCTAAGTTGTTCGAAAAGTGTTCGCCGAACATTGCAACACCGCTGGCAGACCTGACAAGGGTGTGGCAAGCATGGCAAGACCAAGAATCTCACAACCGGTACATCCCCACTGAGATCTCGATTTTGATTCCACCACTAATTGATGATTGCATCAAGCACGGCATATACGTGGGTCATCCTCGATCAAGAGATGTGTCTCTTCCAAGATTCGACCTCAACTTTGTTCACTTCAGTGACAAGCTTTAATACTCCTGTTCCCAACTCTGATCAATTATGGCATGCAACTTCTGCCGAGCAATGGGCTCATGATGTCGGTTACGATGGAAGTGGTACAGTAACTTTCCCACGATCTTTGGACGAATACATCAGGGCTCTTCGTGAAGAAAAGACGACAATTGATCTATCCAAGCTGACACCAATTACCCTACGCCTGATGTTGTGTCACCTGCAAAAAGTCGTGTCTCGAGTCCGCGCGTTGATCGCTGACATGACTGACGATGAAGGTACGTCTAGAGCCGCTCATCGCCAAACAGCCATGGTTCTGACATCAGTGCACATGGATGAAGCACGGGATATGCTCCGAAGATGGTACGATCTGGCAAATGGTGGATGTACGGACACCAGAACCCCTGCCATGGGGGCCAACATGATCCTCTATCATCTTCTCTCATTGAACACACTTGCCAACTTCCCCGAGATCGAGCGCATTGCTCGCAGTGACAGGACTGATCCTTTAAAGAAGCCGGCTCACTGGGTACGATCTTATCACTTCGAAGATTGCCCTCGCATCTTCTTCCATTGCCGACAGATCTTGCGTACGATCCGATACATGGAGGAACACACCAGACCTCCTTGGTGGGCTGGTGCTGTCTATCGAGTTGCGTTGATTGCCTGGATGAATAGTATGGTGGTTGCGGACACCGGTGCAGGAGCAGACAACCATGGAAGCAACCAGTCAACAACAACAGTCCTCGACGACCTGGCAGCGGACCATCCGCTTATCGAGGCATATCTTGACAGGCATCAGGGCATTCCAGTCTTTTCGCAAATCGAAGGTGGATATATGGCCTTGGATGTCCCTAGTAATGTTCTGGTGCATTGTGCAAATCTTCTAGGCGTTGATCCTCTGCTAGCCTTCGTCAAAGGAGTCCGTCTCAAACTGCTAAAGCTCGTCACGCGGTGGCAGTGAGCTTCTGAACAAAGACTGGAGTAAGCGTGGTTGATCTATTGGATTGGGATTGTGCAGTCTCGTGCATGTCCATGCGTGCGACGGCGGTCATGTTCACAGAAGCACTACACGAACTCCCTGACATGAGGTCAGTACTGACTTTCTGAATCGCTGTCCCTAGGTGATCTTCTGTAAAGAGTTTGAAGTGCTCGCAGACGCTGGTAGTCAGCCAGGGGCATATGCATGTACCCCGCATCAAGCTGTTAGACCCCAGGCGTGGTGCCGACACGGAAGGGGCAGATCCGAGCTGCCGCGGCAAACAGAAACGTGGGGCACGCTCGCGCCGCTGGCTGGCATACAGCCGTCACAATCTCTTGTCTGACTTACTCCGCTGCCATGGTTGCTCGACGTCTCTAGTGCTCCGGACGGTCTCTGAAATTCCTGCTTCTAGATGGAGAATCTAGTGTGCGACCCTACATCGGAAGATGTCTCTTCGGGGCTATGGGATGATTAAACTTCACCTTACGATAGAGTTTCTGGCCCGCACCCAGGCACACGTCCTTTAAATGTTGTTGACTTCGTGGATAAAGCTATTGCTGGGGCATCAGAACGGACCGTTTAAAGCCTTAGCTAGACTTAAATAGTCTCGTCGGATCCTACCCTTCCCTCATTGGACTTTCAGACATCTTGCTATCGTAAGCCGCAGCTTCTTTTCTGTACTCAACTCATTCCGGAGAACATCATCGCCCGAACAACCATGAGGGAGTACACAGCATCATGGCTGGCTGTATGTGTCTGCAGTGCATTTTGCTGAGATCAAGCTGACACCTCGCAGGCAGAGAAGTCCATGGGAGGACAAAGAACTGCTCTACACGGAAATTCGGAAGAAATGCGTGCCCAATTCGATGGCATGCTTGCTGCACTGGCTCCGCTGTATCCTCCACCGTCAGACGCAGTCGTTTCCAGAGATCACGAGGTCGGAAACTTCAAAGTCAGAGTATACACGAAGACTCGTGCTTCTGGTACTCCTCTACCGGTTGGTCTGTTTACACATGGCGGTGGCTTTGTTCTGGGATCCCTTGACAGCGAAGACGCTTTCTGCCGTCTCCTTGTCGAACATGCCAACACTATGATAATCAGTATCGATTACAGACTCTCACCTGAGGTCAAAACGCCTGTTCACCTCGAGGATTGTCTTGCGGGACTCAAATGGGTAAGTTCCGAATAAGTGATATACAAAGCGGCTAATGGCTGACAACTATAAAGGTTCTAAGTAATGCGCAGTCATTCGGTGGTGATGTTGCCAAGATCTATACCATTGGAGATTCTGCTGGTGCTCAGATGGCTCTCGGCGTCGCTCGCAAGGTCAGAACTGGACAAGCAGAGGTCCCCTCGGACTCTGTCAAAGGTGTTGTGGCCTTGGTACCCGCAGCTTTCCACCTCAGTTCCATCCCGAAAGAATACGAACAAGAATACACGGCTTACGAGGAAAACGCAACAAACGTACCTATTTTCGACGCAAAATCCATAGAACAGATTGTGGAGCACTCTGGTATCAAAGCTGACGATGCCGATTACCTGGTTGGACTTGATCAAGAGTCGCACAAGCTATTCCCCCCAACCTACATCGTAACCTGCGAGTTCGACCCACTTCGGGATGATGGCATTGTCCTAGCGAAGTGCTTGAAGAGTGCCGGAGTTCCCGTCAAATACGATCATTACGATGGCCTACCTCATGTTTTCTGGGTAAACCCTATCTTGCCAGAAACAAAAGTGTTCATGAAGAATCTGCTGGAAGGCGTGGACTGGGTAATTAGACAGATGTAGACAGATGTATGAAGGTTTCGACTTCTTTCATATTGACACGGCAGTTGGGCCAATCAAACGTGGTCTAGGATTAGCTAGTGGCAGCTCATCCTTGTAAACTGCGGGAACCTGACTGAGAGTTGCAAGCTCCTATCTATGATCGGCCAAAAATGTGGTACTCCACAACCTGGTCGTACGGTATTAGCGGCTTTTCCAGTCACGGGAAAGCTGAAAATATGTCAACCCCGATGCTGCTAGTGATAGACTCCTGATGCACACAGAAGGTCGCACCAGTGGTGTTAGCTGTGATACGCACGCGTATTTGTCTTGCTCTCGGTCTCGTCAATCGTGCAGGCCAAGCTGGTCGTTCATTGGAGTCAAAGTCCGAGGGAATGCAAGCCAAGTCTCCAAAGCTGTAAGCCAAGCAATTGCATGAATGAGCACTATATTCCTCACGCATCACGATCACGGACTGTCAGACACGCCACTCTATACGTGATACTCGATGCTGTCCGATTGGCCCCATAGTAAGCTAATTACAGCAGCCACTATGTGTTGTGCTCAACTCTGACCGGTTGCATTCTCCTGGATGCAACACATATATAAAGGGGTAGATCTCCCACAATCTAACCTTCGCGACACGGCTTTCCAAGTGCTGGATTATACAAGATATGGAGAAGTTTGACAAATCACAGGTCATCGACCTCGATGCTCTTATCGTTGGTGCTGGCTTTGGTGGCGTGTATCAGTTGAAGAAACTACGCGATCTAGGCTACAACGCCAAGCTGGTAGAAAACGGCTCCGATTTTGGCGGCGTATGGTGAGTTAATCTCTCCTTCTGCACGGTTCTTCGCTTCTCTAAAAGCTGACCCTGTTGAGGTACTGGAACCGCTACCCCGGCGCTCGAGTCGACATCCCCATTCCACACTACGAATTCTCGGACCCAAAGCTCTGGAAGGAGTGGAGTTGGAGACAACGTTTTCCTGGTTCTGCAGAATTGCGTGCATACTTTAGTTTCGTCGCTGATACATGGAACATCCGCGATCATTGCGTCTTCAATAGCCACGTCAACTCTGCAATATGGGATGAAGGAGTTTCGAAGTGGATAGTGAGGACCAGAAAAGGAACGACCTATCATACAACTTTCTTCCTGCCCAATACTGGTTTTGCAGCTAAAAGATACATCCCTGATTGGAAAGGTCTTGAGAGGTTCAAAGGCACTTGGATCCATCCGAGCTTCTGGCCAGCCGAAGGCATTGACTTTAAGGGGAAGAAGATCGCTGTCATCGGAACTGGATCAACAGGTGTACAGCTCTCTCAAGAGCTCGCTCCCCGTAAGTCCCTCTCGTCTCTGAGAACAAGTCCTCGTCAGTGATATAACCATAAGCTAGTTGCATCTGAGTTTGTTCTCTTCCAACGCACTCCAAATCTTGCTTTACCCATGAAGCAACAGGATTTCGATGGAGACGCCCAAATGTTGCCCAGAGAGCAATACCCTGACTTATATGCTGGTCGCAAATCGTCCTTCGGTGGTATCGACTACAGTTTCTCGGCACAAAAGACGTTCGATCACACTCCAGAAGAGCGTAGAGCCGTATATGAAGCTCTCTGGGCCCATGGCGATTTTCACTTCTGGCTTGCAACCTATGGAGACATGTTATTCTCGGACGAGGCAAACACCGAAGCGTATAATTTCTGGTGAGTTACCATGGGTCGTAGCGACGAGTAATGCTTTCTGATTTCGTCAGGCGAGACAAGGTCCGCGCAAGACTCAACAGTCTCCGTCTAAAGGATAAGTTCGCACCTATGAAGAAGCCGCACGCGTTTGGCTGCAAGCGAATCTCCCTCGAGAATGGCTTCTTTGAACTTTTCAACAGATCAAATGTGCATCTTGTCGACATGAATGAAACTCCCGTGATAGAAATTACACCGAGTGGAATCAAGACCAGCGCAAAAGAATGGGACTTTGACCTCGTGGTTTGCGCAACCGGCTACGACGCCACCACTGGAGGCATCTTAGATATGAATGTCCAAGGTCGAGGTGGCACCGCACTGAAAGACTTCTGGCGCGATGGCGTCAAGACAAACCTTGGAATGTGTGTGCCTTCGTTCCCAAATATGTAAGTCGGTCCCAGCATGCATCATTGCGCTGAAGGCTACTGACTCTCTAGGTTCTTCACTTATGGCCCGCAAGCTCCCACAGCCCTGTGCAACGGACCTACCTGTGCCGAGTTCCAGGGTGACTGGATCATCGATGTGATCGAACACATACGCAAGAACAACTACCATCGCATCGATACCTCTATGGAGGCTAGCAACACTTGGGCAGAGGGTGTTGCTGCTATCGCCAACAGGTCTCTACTGCCAACAGCACGATCGGTAAGTAGGATTTGATTTTGATGTCCATAACTGTTAGAGCGATCACTAAAGAAAAATCCAGTGGTATATGGGAGACAATATCCCAGGTAAGAAGCGAGAATGCCTGATTTACCTTGGTGGTGTGCCCAATTACTACAAATCGTTGAACGAGTGTGCTGCAAAGAACTATGAAGGCTTTGTAATCACTTAAGCTTGGCTAGAGTACAAACAATCTGCAAGTAGAACTGCTCGATTTCCAGACTGACCAATATATCGTTGATACAAATCAAACATATTCTCCATTCATTCTTTGATGGGCTCGACAAAAACATCGACCTCCGTCTTACTGAACTTCCGCGCCGACACCTTCTTCTCGAACAGAAGGTCAATCTCAGCAACTGAAAGCCCTTTTGTTTCCGGCAGTCTGAAGAACGACCACACAAAAGTAAGAGCGCAGAATCCGACCCAGACAAATGCTCCTTTTCCGCGAAGGTTCCAGGCCAAAGGGTTCAGAATTGGTGGGTTCAAGAAGTTTGCGCCGAGAGCTGCTAGATTGTATGCGATGCGTGCTAGAACGACTGTTTTGATGCGAAGCCGAGCGCTAGGTAGCTCAGTGACGAGGCAATAGCATACTGGACCAACAGTCGTCTGATAGGCGATAACAAAGATGATGAGGAAGGCGCCCGAAATCCAGCTGATGGTAGAGCTGCTTTTTGGGATGCCCAGAAAACCGACTACTAGCAGTGAGATGAGCATGACGGCCTGACCAAAGAGGTAGATAGTGCGCCTGCCGAAGTGCGTCATCACAAACCACGAAGCAGAAGTACAGATAAGTGCAAGTGCTTGCTGACCGAGACCGAAGTTGAAAGACACATTTTCGTCCAGTCCGCCTCTCTGGAGGAAGTAGATGATGTTTGACCCAAACCAGATACCCACAAGAACTTGTGCTAACCACGCACCACAGGTGGCTTCGGTGCGTCTTAGATTGGATCCTCGAAAGCAATCTAGGTAGGACACGCTTTCACTTGCCATCTCCATTGATTGTTCAAGTGCATTGGTGTGCACCAAGAGGGCAAGGGTTTGTTCAACCTCATTTACGTGTCCGGAGCTAAGTCTGAGAAGAGAATTTCGAGCTCTTTCGACCTGATCTGTTTTGACAAGCCATGCTGGACTCTCTGGAGCGAATAACATACCAGCGATGATGATTGGAGGCCATGCCCATTGAACCGCGTACGGAATGCGCCAAGCCCACTGATCATCTCTGTCAATCACTCCCCTGAGAACGCCGACACTCAAAAATTGACCGATGACCCAGCACATATTGACAAAGGTGGTGAGGATTGGTCTAAGGCGCATGGGTGTAACATCAGCAGCATACGTAGTTACCGAGGCTTGGAAAGCGCCCCAAGGGATGCCGCAAAGAAGATAGCCAGCAAGTAGCATCGATCTGTTTTGCGCAAAGAACATCAGGAAAATGAAGCTGATGGTAAGGACCTGAGCACCTATGATGGCTTTAATGTAGCCAAATCGATCGATGAAAAGACCAGCGAGAAGAAGTCCGATGAGCTGACCTCCAGCAGCCGCGTTCTGAAAGCCGGACTGCCAGTCAGATGGCACTTGATACTGTCCAGTACCGTCGTTGACTCGGATGCCAAATTTGCGATTGAACGGACTAAAACCATAGAAGTTCCCGATGAGTGCAGTGTCATAGCCTTCCATGACGATGCATAGCGACATCAAAGCTGAGAAGAATATAGCCTTGGGATATTTGCGCACAGCTTGAAGAACAGTCATGTTCTTCTGAGCATGTGTCTCGAGAAGGGCATTATTGACTGTCTCATTGTCGACTTCAACAGCAGAGCTCAGGCACTCTACAGTCTCGACGTCTTGCTTGTGAGGATGTAGATCGGTCATGACTGTTATAAGAAAGAAAGAAGTTATCTTGTTATCGTGGAAGTCTGGATGTGATGAGATCTGAGTTGTTATCGAGGAGGAATCGGCCTTTATATATGCATCAGTACTCAATGCACTCGGTATGCAGTGCTTGAAGTCGATTCAACTTACCCCATGGGCAGTGTTGTCAGGCTGAGTCTAGTGACGGAGTTTCGCCGCTGCTAACCATAAAGAGGATCGAGTCGTACTGTGGAAAGTGTAAGGGCGCCAGTCTTGGCTGGCAGAGAGCTCAATTGGCAAGCACGATAACAGATGTACACATAGAGTCTAGCCTTGCATGGTTAGTCGTCTCCAGCTCTCCGCAGTTCTTGATCAACGTCTCGGGGGGTGAAGCTATTAGGAGGACAAAAGTTGGGAGGCGTTTGGCATCAGTAGTTCGATCTCCGCAAAATTCATATAAAGGATTTTGGCGAGTATTTCTGCGAGCACCGTTAAGCTCAACGACTAGTGCGCCTAGAACACGAGCATCTACTGAGCATGGGCCCATTTGGAAAATAGCGTTCAATCCTATACTGGCAGGGGCTGAAGTCATGAAAATGGTTCGATGGTTCGCCAACACAATAGTGTGAGAAAATATCTTTGGCTTTGGGACATGTCTATACGAAGATGAAATCTCAGTCATCACCTTGGTGATCACTAGATGCTTCTTGTATGAGCCGATCAGCCAATACAGCACTTATTGCCGACATTTTCTCACGAGAAGGATGCACTGGTAGTGGAATGGCATCTCAGGCAGTGTCATCGATATCCTCGTATCGTCGAGCAGGAGTTTCCTTAATCAACCATGGTTAGGTCTTGTATATGATGGTTCGGAGATGAGAGGATCTCGTCCGTTATCGCCGACATCAGCCGCTTTCCCCACACCGTGGGGCTCTCGAGCTCTTATCTGATTGGTGTCACATATCTATCTGCAAGGCCTCATAGGCTCCACGTCATCGACAATTAACCCCCTGCCAGTATTGGGAGATCAAAAAGAGAAGCAGCTGCCGTGTAGTCTCTATTTCTACCTCGTTTGCTCCCCAGTACAAGGTAGTGAGCAAGATGTCAGCCAATCCGGACCAAGATCTTCTCCTCGTCACTTGCGCGTCAGGCAAGCAGGGTACAGGTCTGCTTCCTCATATCGAAAAAGAATGGAAGCGGCTTCGTCTCCATGTTGGCAGTGAAGCCTCGAAACAACGACTGCAGAAAAAGTATCCAACCACTGAGGTCATCGTGGCTAATATGGCGGATCCCACAACAGCACCAAAGCTGTTGAACGGAGTTACATGCTGCTTCATGATCTGCCCTCCGTATGTGCAAGTTCTGAATTTTTGAGCCTTGTACTAATTACCCTTCTCAGCTTGCAACACGAAACAATGGCAATATATTATATGATTGATGCAGCAATGGCACAGCGTGCTGCTGGTGGTCCTTTTGCCCATATGGTGTACTCATCCGTTATTTTTCCAATTCTACGAAAACTCTTGAACCACGACAACAAGCGTTACGCCGAAGAATATCTTATCGAATCTGGTCTGCCCTACACGATTTTGCAGCCCACGCACATGATGGAGAACTTTCCCATGGAGAAAGTTGTGCGCGAAGCGGAGCCAGTCTATCCTATCCCCTACAACCCAGAGATCGTCTTTACATGGGTGACAGCAAGAGATGTCGGGGAGGTTGCTGCTCGTGTCTTAGAGGAACGCCAGAAGCATTATTATGCGACCTATCCTCTTGTCGGTACACAGCCTGCTACATATACTGACGCAGTCCGCCAAGTCAGCGAGGCTATTGGAAAGGAGATCAAGATACAGCGCATCCCTCTTGAACAGGCTGTTGATGGGCTGGTTCGCCGCAATAAGAACGAGTCCATGAGACCATTTGCTACGCGTCTTCTCGTGTACTACAATGAGCATGGACTCATTGGAAACACAAACGTTCTGGAGATGTTGCTCGGCAGGAAGCCAACCTCCTATGCTGAATGGGCGAGATTGAAGGCGAACGAGATCATCGATGGAAGTACTTGATACAGGAGACATATGTCTCAGGTGTCTTTGTTGTGCAGCATGCTTTAGTACGTTATAGTGAATTTAGATACAGGACAACACTACCATCATGCCATCATATGAGGCTCACACTGCAATGCCATCCCAGAGTGTTGCAAAAAGCAGACTTGATTTGCCGCCGAGCCTCTCGTGTCAAGAACCTTGAAAAGCAAAGGTTGTCATGTCATCTGCGAAGAACTTTATGCCGATGGTTTCCTCCGCAGCATAGATTCGTGTTGATAAGGCCGTGCGACCATTCACGAACACTTCTAGCACAGAGTTGTCGCGCCAAACCTGGATATGTAGATGTTCTTCAACATGTCTGCCACTCGAAGGATTAATAGTGGTAAACGGTGTGTGGGGAGCATATTCGGTATTGCTGTTGATCAGTTGCGCACAGGAGGGTGAGGAGCAAGCAGGACGTTCAATGGTAAAAGTTTCTTTCTCGGGTGTGAAGGTGAATGTTGTGGTCTGCGAGAAGGCTTTTGACACGCTGAGCATCTATTACATTTCAAACACTGCGTCACGGAATGCTATCGATGAAAGCGTCCTGGGATGTTGGGCTGGATACTGCAAATACAGCGACGGTCGTTACGAAACCTTTGATCGCAGGCAGGCAATCCGTATGTTTAGAGCCCAACGACGGGCTCGAGAAGGTTGTCTTGTAAGATGTCTGTCTTTCGAGCCCTCTACCTCGCTCTTGCCACTGCGGCAATTGCTTGAAAGTCAACAAGCAGATAATTCTGTCAACCAACTCTGGTTGACCGACCGACTTTGGGAGCTTTGCATGTCGCATGGTCTACTCCTCGATTCCTCTCACCACGCGGAACTAAGATTGGACTTTGCATACCATGTTGCCAATGAACTGCTCTCGGTCTGCGATATTCTAAGTCTAGCTTCAACGGAGGTCCACGGAGTCGGGTTCATTGAAAAAGTGTACGATATCGCCATGAGTCTGGTCAAAGCAATGAGTTCTTCAACGCAGATGACACTCGACTCAAGTTTCACTAGCCCTGATTTCTTCTCAGATGAAGCTTCAACCTCTTGTGTTACAGTCAAGGTGCTTCTAAGCCGGCTGCACGAACTCATCCAAAACTTTCGTGGTGGCGATCACGAGTATGCGTCCAAGATTGCGATTGCTTTGAGCAGCATACCTGGATACGATACTTCCGCGTAGGAGTTTTATGAATAGCTTTTTAGGCTGAACGCATCTTTGTGTAGGCTTGTGAGCTTTCTGACACGATATGCCTCGCCCTGGGGTTTGAAAGATTCATAGCGGTGGGACCAAAATCATCGGGACCCAGTCATCTGGCGATCGACCGATGATTGCGACCAACATGTCAAGACGGAAGTCGAGTACCATCACTGTCGAGTGCTTGCCGCATAGACCGCCTGCCATAATCTGAGGGACCTATTTATTGGATGATGAGAACTTGAACAAGATGTCGATCTGATTTGGAAGCTAAGATTGGCGGATACACTTTTTGTTAGTCACCTCTCATCGGCCTGGTCTGAACTCCACAATCGATATCCGTTTTGTAGACCTCTGTGCAAAAGTATTGAGGGTTTGACACCTGTTGCGGAACTGTAATGACATCGGGAGAGAAACATGATGCCCATTGCTTCAAAAGCCAGTATGTTTATGCATCCAGTGTGTACAAGGGGAAGTGGAGTTTGAGCTACTGTACGTGCAGAAGCACTGAACTCTTATTGATGGCGAGGCTACCTACTTGCATAGCTGTAACGAAATTTGTGAGATGTTTCGTGCAAAGCATTCGCCACAAGTCCCTCGAATATTTCACTCTATCTATGAATGCTTACTTGGAGAGAACTGCGTACAAGCTTAGGATGTTCGCTGTGTACTGTACGTTGTGCATAAAGGAATGTAAACTCAAAAGTGACTGCAGAGCACTGAGGGCAAGCGATTAGGTATATTGAAGATTGGATGATAGCTATCGTCTACATCCTATGTGAATGGGTTGTTCCAAGGATTTCTTGCGTTATTAGCTTTCACAAGAGCTCTGACCAAATCATTCACAGCCTGCTTCTTAGCGTCCTTCTTAGCTTCTTGCCTGTATGAATTGGAGTCATAATCTTTTTCAAGCTCATAAGTCCACATGTCGAGGAATGCCGCGGTTCGTGCGATGGTCGATGCAGCTATATCCTTGGACCACTTTTGCCACTCCGATTTCAATCCAATTCGCTGGTAAGGGCTTATGGACCCTGATGGCGGCGTGTATGTGTTGCCTTGAAGCCTATCCTCGAGGTCGCCAAGTGTCGTCGCAACTCTGTCTCTTTGCGTGACGAGTATGTCGCTGACATAACCGAATGTGTGATATTGCCAAGCACCGAGCACTTTCCGCACACGCTTTACTGCGGCGCCAGGGTTCTCCTTCACCGCTTTAGCCATGGCTTTCGGGTCATAGATCGCCTTGGTGCTCCACATCCTCTCTTTCACGCCATTCACACCGGTATCCAGCAACACGAACTCATCCGCGTGCGAGTACGTACCTGGGTATGCCTTAGAAACCCAACTTATTGGGGTGTTTCTCACACCACTTCCATCGTATGTGATGAAACTGGCAGGTGGGCCGCTCCAGTAGGGTTTCATATACTGGCAGAGCGTCACGTCCTCCCGGGAATCTGCAGGATTCTCGTATGCATCATAGCCCTTCTTGACGTTGAGATCATCCAGGAATCTCGCTAGGAGCTTGAATTCAAGGATATGCTCTGCGGAGAGCCCTCCCGTATACCCATTATACTGGGCTGAACCGAAGTCAAAGTCGCTACATAGAAATTAGCACGACCATAAGTTTAGGAATTTCTTTCCTACCTGCAAGAAGTCGGATTTTTGAATCCATAAATCTGGGTCATGCCACTAATGGTCTCGCAGTCAATACGTACAGCGGCAAGTTCGGGGCAATCACAGCTACAGCCACGATTGCCAGTGTAGACACGCCATTCGCAGACTTACCCAGTGCCACTGATATCACGACTGTGACGAGTGCAACATCATCCGCTCTTCCGCTAGCCAATGGTACGCGACAGGATTGCGAATCTTACTTCGATGGTACGATCTTTCAGGTCGACGTTTCCTTCTGGGACTCTATATGCCAATTGGCAGCAGTATCCTTCGACGTCGACCTGAACTCTTTTGGTACTTGGAATCAGGGACTTAACGTCACGTCGCCGCTTTGTGCATTTCAGTCCGGAGTTCAATACTGTGCAAGGCTATACCTTGGGGATCCCGTTGAAGCAGACAATAATGGGAAGTCTTCGCAATCGGATCTCCCTATCAGAGTAAGTTCAACTTTATATATGCTGTGACATACCAAGTCTTGCTCACATACATCAGGATGGTACATCTGTCAACTGCACCTCCTTTGCAGATGTGGTGGACGGTGATACGTGCCAATCAGTCCTCGACGCATATCGCTTGAACATAGATCAATTCTATAATTACAATCCTGCAGTTGGTAAAGACTGTTCGAACCTATGGACAGGATATCAATATTGTGTGCAAGATCCTAGCTACGTGGATGTCGTTGACGGCGACAGTCTGAGCACTAGCACAAGCAATACCAGAAGCGGGTCAAGTGCGACAACTCTGCCATCGAGCACGATCGCGGGTCCTTCACCTTCGGCGCCGACTCAAACAGGACAACCTTCAGATTGCACACGATGGTATACAGCACAGGCAGGTGATTCATGTTCGTCCGTTGCAAATGAAGCTTTCATCACACTGGATCAGTTCTACAGCTGGAACCCGGCTGTCTCCACGGACTGTAGCAGCGGCTTCTGGGGAGGTGTGTTAATTCTTAGTCTATGTGAGGTCCAACAGATACTGATACGAAATGATCTAGGTTACGCTTACTGTATAGGCACTACAGATACGGCTTCTGTAACCCGCTCCCTGACCACCGCCAGTCCAACGACGACACGGACTGTGAACACGCCGACACCGATCCAAGCCAACAATGCGGTCTCGAATTGCAACAAGTTTGCTGCTGCTAAAGACGGCGACTATTGTTCAGTATGTCATCTAAGCACAGCGTCTAATCAAATACTGACATCCAACAGTTGTTTGCTGAAAACAATGGTATTTCTTTGACTGATCTGTATTCTTGGAACGCTGTCTTGAAGTCTGATGGTTCGGGATGTGCCAATAGCTTCTGGCTGGGTTATTACTATTGTATAGGTGTATCAGGTTGAGCAATAGACAGACATCTTCAGTCAAGGGAGCTTTGCATGTTGTCAAGTATGAATAGAATGCACGATCCGATACTCATTCCCTTCCGTACCAATCGTGATACTCGATCACACCGTCCTCTCCTAGTAGATCGCTCCAAGCCCGTCCCAGCTCTTCGTTCATGCGCCATGAGCTCGGCACTCGCCAATATAGCCTTCGTTGGTGTCTATGCTCGCTGTCGTGTGTGAAGTCTAGAAGGCAGCCAGCATCTATCTCGCCCGGCACAAGGTAGAGAAACTGAAATAGCTGGTATGCCGCACAGTCTGGCATATCGGAACTGGCTGTAAAAATCCTCAAAGCCGGCATCTGTCCAGCTACTTGTGCCATACTAATGAGCATAGCTTCGAGTCTCTGTGACGGCCAGGTTCTGAACACATCGCCCCATTCCGCGTCGTCAAGGTCTTCATTTTCGTCGTCTTGGCGTGCAGGTTCGTACTCTTGATCAAAGTTGGTGATTTTGGCTTGGTCTTCTTGAGTTTTGTGTATGCGTTCCAGCACGAGACGTCGAGAAACCAGATTCCTGTATTGCTCAATGCCAACAGTGTTTGGTTCTCTCTCGAAAAACCAACCCCCATCTGCCGCCATTGGGCTGTAGTTGATCTCTAAACGACTAAGACTAGGCCACATAGGTGACCTCGACGATAGCTTAGACTGCTGGAAGAACTGTTCTGAAAGAACAACGCTATGGAGAACCAGAGTTCTCAGGTCGGTCATCGACGATAGCAGTTTCAAAGACTGACTCAGATGATCTACCGGCACATGCGGTAGCAAAATGCTAGGGACGGCAATGTTCTCGTCAGATGGTGTTTCGTTGACAAAGCGGAGCTCAATCGTCCGCAGCGACGGACAGATCTCCACAAGCGACTGTACTTGCTTGGAAAAGTCTATATTTGAACAATGTTGGCCAAGTTGTCCATAGGACAAAAAGCAGTTGATGACCCGTTGATGACATCCATCGGCACTGGCTTTCTGCGCTCTGCTCTCAGAGCTTCATAATCGCCGCTGCGAGTTGATGCGATTTTCAGGAACAGACACTTACCGTAACGCGCTTTGCGCCGGGACACCGAGTTTATATTCTTATCGTAGTCGTCCAATTCCCATTTGATGTCTTGTAGGCCAATCATCTGGGAGGCGATCGAGGCTAACAAGACTGGGTCTCGCTGGGCTGTACTTTTGAACTCGAAACGCTTGACAAGCTTAGTCCTAGGTATCAGTTCGGTCGCAGCCTTTGATAGGCAAGTCTCCTGTGGAAACCCTATTTCGAGAGTGATAGTCTTATTGGTTGACCAGGAGCTCAAAATCGAGTAGAGTTCTCCAAGGCTAAACATGACGGCTTCCGTAGCCTCTTGTCTGGCAATCGTTCTTTCAGTTGCGATTTCTGATTCCAAAGCTTCATCTGTGCCGGGTGTGGGTTCAATGGTATATTTGAGTTGTTGCAAAGCAGATCTGCGATGAATCTGCTCTAACTCGGCGCCATACACATTTGCGAAGTGTCCCAACTCGGAACTTTTCAATCTGATAGAGCTAAAAACAAGTCGCTCAACAATTTGTTGCCATTGTTTCGAGATTAGCGCATATGGTGCAAGACATGGTCGGCCCCTTGATGGTCGACCTCGAGGACAGTAGCCAAGTATCTTGGTGATGAGTTCTGGAGGCAGACGGTCCATGTTTCAATGGAAATAGTTCGAGCACTCGTATTTTGACAAGTGTGGGAGAGTCAGAAGCGGTGTTGGTTGCCTGATGAGTTTGCCCAGAGTTCAAATTTCGGATAGTTCCGTGTTTCTGAAAGTGGTTAGTGTAGCAAGTGTGCAGATCAAGCCTTGGAGCGGCTCTTCCTCGCTAAGCACATACGCTTGCATTCACTGTCACTGATGACAATATAGACATCCTGTTGATGCAGACTCAATAGCTTCCAGGTCACTAAAGTAATCAGTTTCAATAGAAAGGACGAAACCGCGAAATGCTAATGGAGGTCTTTGGTACTACAACAATGTCAACAATCTGACAGCATATCAGAATCTCTCGTACGCTGATGGAATGTACTCGTATCCGACTTTCGCGATCCTGAGCGCAGGTAACCGAAGTCAATATTCCGACCTCTTTGGTCCTGCAGCCGTATCCCAGCAACTCGTAATCCTCGACGCCATATGCAACGATGGAACAGGTCTGCTAGTACATGGCTACGATGCCTTGAAAGTTCACCACTGGGCGAACCCAGACACGGGGGCTAGTCCTTCTGTCTGGGGTCGCTCGTTGGCGTGGTACACACTTGGTGTAGTCGAAGCTTTTGACACACTGCAATCAACGCCTCAGACCTCAGACACACTAGCGGACAAGATCTCATACACTAATATGAGGCTCCTCCTCAAATCCCTTATCAAAGCTCAAATCATCGCTCTCGAACGTGCCACAGCGATTAATGGCAAGTACGGCATCTGGCAAGTCGTCGACCTCCCGGGCGCATCCATCAATAACACCACGAACTTCATCGAGACAAGTGCAAGTTTGATGACTGCCTACTCTTTGCTCAAGTCCGTGCGTCTGAAACTCATCTCATCTGCGCACCTTCGCAATAGAGCCATCAAAGCAGGTCTAGGACTTTGGGAAACAATCTTCCAGACTCAAGTCACGACAAACTCAAATGGGACTCTGAGCCTTGGTGGCACTAGTTCTATCGCTACTTTGAGTGTGCAGAATGTGGATGCGGAGGTAAGGTGAATTCAAGACACGAATGCATGATGGATGTGATTGCTAAAAAATGTCTTTGCAGTACTACTTCACAAGACCGACTATCGAGAACAGTCTCATCGGGACTAGTGCCTTCATATTGGCCAGTCTTGAAGTTGAGAATTTGTGTAGCTGAGGTTGCAAGACTCGTACAGCATATTAGTCAAAATCAACAGAAATGAACAACTGATTTGCAACCAACATAGTTTAGTCGCAAAGATCTTGTACAGTATGTTTTGTAGAGCATGTCGGATAAGGGTTGTCGGATAGAGGATGTCGGGTATGGCCTAGCCGACCTCGGATCCGAGATCGGGATCTCCGCATTGATCAACATCACCGCTGTACTGATCTCTACGTGTTCTCTCCATCTGATGTTTAGATTCAATCCGTCTCAGAAAGAAGAAGTAGCAAGAATAGACAAGCAATAATGTCCAGTGTGATCCAATATGAGCATGAATTCCGCCGCCTCTCCTGGCTGTGGGCGTATTGCTACGATAACAAGGTCAGATAATCACTACCATCTGCAACCAAAAAGAAAACACCTCGAATTGACATGTCCAACACTGGCAGGACTGGAAACAACTCGAGTCTATCTGTTCTCCACAATTCAAAATGTACTATGGAGAACTCGATCCCTCACTAGGCGACAAAATCGTCTCTGTGCAAGATTTCGTGGCTGCGATGTCTGCGCAGACGTCTCTTGGGGATTCTCGGCGTGAGTTCAAAGCCATCTCGATATGTATCGCATCTCAACGGATAAGAAATGCTGATATTCTCTGCTTCATACAGTCAAAACACAACACTTCCTCGGCTCAGTCATGTTCGAACAGGAAGACGATGACTCAGTAGTAGGAAATTGGCAGATACAAGGGCTACACCGCCGTAATCTTGCTGATGGCACGGTGGCTTCGTGGAATGTCCACCTTTGTATAAGACACTATTATCGTTGTGATGGAGAAGGAGTGTGGAAACTTGATGGACTTAAGCCTAGCATACCATTGTTTATGGATGGTGTACCTACAAACGTTCTTGGCGAGTTTGAATAGGTTGATGCAAGTGCTTTGCTGGGCAATTTATAGATGCCAGTAAAGACGAGGGGAATAAGAATATTTTGTGTGTTTTATTACTCTCCCTTCATCAGCCATCGTCGACAAACACCTTCCCAAAGAGTGTCGGCTCCATCAGATCCTTCTTTTTCTGCCAAATCCAACAACTGCTGAAGTCTACCTTCCAAAACAGAGTCAAGCGTTTTTTCCTCAGCTGAACCATGATCAGGCACCACAAACATAGCTTCTTTCCCTCCCTTCTCAAACTTCGACCAAGGAACTTCGCCATCGACGATATAGCGAATATATTTCGCCCGCCACTCCCTGATCTTCTTGACATAGTCTTCTGGCAATCTGTCTTCGTATGCACCAAGTAAGGCTACAACATCCCAAGTATGCGATGCAAACTTGTTCGGCTCAAGCGGACCAGGGAAAGGATTTCCAAGATCGAAGAGTTGAAAGTATGTCGTTGTCTTATCAGCCGTACCTCTAGCCACAGCCAATGCAGCAGAGAAAAAGCCAATGTCAGATTCAAATTGACAGATCTTTTCGAGTGCTTCTTCGTCTGGTGTAGTCTCTTTGATGTCGTAGATCTGCAAGAGTTTCTCAGGGTTCTTGAGCACTTCTTTGGCAATCTTGATGAAGCTTTTGGCATGATCTTTGCGCGAATCGTCGCCGCGCATCATGATGTTCGAGATACTGCCATCGTAGCTGCAAGAACTGATGATTTGAGATTCCAGCCAGGATACCTGAGACACTTTTCCAGCGGAAATGTCACGCTGATTCGCATGATCTCTATGCGGAATGATCTCAGTATCAACACAAGGAGCACCAACAAACCCCAAGTCTCTGATGTTGGAAACATCGCACTTGATCATTTGCTCCGCAATCTGCATACTGCTGAGATTTTCAGTATCGATGTCGAGTTTTTTTGCTTGAGCGAGGAAGTTGTCTTGGTGTTCTGAATGTGTTTTGTCGGGCATGGTCAATGGTGTGCCGGAAAACATGATGGAGCGTTTGTAGAGTGGGTTTTGTCTTCCACTCATGTTGTGCAGACTCAAACTCTCGCCACCGGCTGATTGTCCAATGGCGGTAATGTTGTCTCTGTCGCCTCCAAAGCCACTGATGTTGCGTGATAGCCACTTGAATGCGATGATTTGGTCATGCAAGCCATTGTTCGCTGGCATGAGACCTTCTGCAGCAGGAGAGTGGAAGAAGCCAAGAGCACCAAGTCGATAATTGATGGACACAAAGATCAATGGTTTCCCCATCTCTGACGCTTGAGTACAGAAGGTAAGAGGATCGTAGTACTTCCTTTGTCCACTGCCCAGGAAGAATGCACCGCCATGAATGAACACCACAACCGGCAAGTTTGAGTCCGGTGTTGTTCCCTTCGGGGTCGTGATGGTCAAGTTCAAACAATCCTCAGCCTGGTCTTGTTCTTCCACATCTTCAGGCAGTTGATTCGACTTGGCGTCCATATGGGCAGATTTCCACGGTTGTATGCTTTGAGGACCTTGCTTTATAACATCGTATGTTTCTTCGGGTTTGGGCTCGGTCGTAAGTTGCTTTCTTCTTGGAACATCCATCAGCATTTCAGACCTGGCGAATCGCTGCTTGATGGAGCCATAGGGAATAGAACGGAACTGAGTGAATCGCTCGGCAAGGGCGACACCATGCAAAGGTCCCAAGAGTGGGTGTTCGAGAAGATTGTTTGCCATTCTGAATGGTTTCATCTGGCGAGAAGTGATTCCAGATGGCAAGTCTACTTTGAGGTTACATATTGGACGTTAACACGTGGGGATCGTCATAAAGTCGAGACGTCACTGATCTCAAGAGCACGTGTCATAGCTTTGATCTTAGATCTCTCTTGTATAACAACAAGTCAATATTGCTTCTGCATATGACAAAGACAATAGAACAGGCCACAGTTCAATCCCAGCCCCAGTGATGTTTGTACGTACAGTCGACAGATCACCAGATGTGTACATAGCCTCGGGTAGCCAAACTCGAGAAAAGTGGGGCCGGTCGAATGAATACCAACGTCGTCCGCCGAATTAAGAAATTCTATCCATGTCACACATCAGACGACGTACGCTCTCATAGCTATCGCAATTGCGCATTTCCTCAATGTGGCAGATTGGATGAGCCAGGATACTCGGATCTACCAACTCTAAATGCGACTTCGACCACAGAAACTCCTCACATCAAAAATCACAATGACCTCAACCCCACGCTCACGACGAAAATCCTTCCAAGAAATCGCCAACACAAAACTCGAAGGCATCGACTACAAAATCTCAGTCAAGAATCGCAATTCTGCTATTGTAATCATTGCACCCCATGGCGGAGACATTGAGCCCGGAACATCGCAAATAGCGGCAGCGATAGCAGGTGACGAGTTATCTTTGTACGATTTCCAAGGCTTGAGGAATACAAATGGGCATAGGGAGTTGCATCTTGCTTCGCATCGGTTTGATGAACCGAGGGCGTTGCAGCTTATTGAGAGTGCTGAGACGGCGGTTGCGATACATGGAAGGAGAGATGGGGATGATCCTCGTCGAGTGTGGATTGGAGGACTAGATACGCAACGATGCAAGAGAACAATGGTGGAGCTGGTGAAAGCTGGGTTTGAAGCTGTGGTTCGTGAGCCTGGAGAGACGTTGGCTGGGACGGCACCTTCGAACATTTGCAATCGGAGCAAGCGGAAAGCGGGAATGCAGCTTGAGATACCGAAGGCATTGAGAGATCGGTTGAAGGATGAGGGAGTGTTGAGGGGCGAATTCGCTAAGGCTGTCAACAAAGCGATACGAGAAGAAACCTTGATTTCGAAGTACTAAACACTTGAGACCTATCCAAGATTTGTGCACTCTTAGTGCCGAGACACAACCACATATCACAGCGAGAGCGTGTTTTGGCCCATATCCTGGAGTCAAAGTTTGAAGTGGAATATAATATTATGTTCCTTCGTTATCGATATCGGGATAAGAAACTATTCAATCTACAAAGCAATGAAGAAAAAGCCAAGCGAGGCAGAGACAGCACCAAGAATAAAAGGCACTGCATGTGGCTTTGAAGCAGAAGCAGCGCCAGTGTATAAGGCAATAGAGGGAGAGGTGACAACCGAAGTGGCAGCACTGCTCTTTGCTGTTGACATAGCAACAGCAGTTGAGTTCTTGTTGGGCATCACAGTAGTGGTAGCGTTAAGGCCCTGGGAGTACACTGCTGGAGAGTACGCAGACACGGCTGGTGAGCCCGAGGAGCTTGAGGCCAGCGCCATGATGGAGCTACTGCTCTCAGCAGTAGGGGCTACCGCTTCTGTAGTGGCGGAAGACGAGGAAGCAGTTGAAGCGACAGACATCGCGGAAAAGCCGCGAGTGATAGTCGTGGTCTTTCCATCAGCAGTATAGGTTCGAGTCCCGCCCACAGTCAGCACGGCGACGGATCCGGAACCAGAGATGGTCTTTGAGCTCACCACTGAGCTGCCTGACAATACACTTGGAACTGCTACAGGGTTCAATTCACTGCCGGTAGCATCTTCGACAGACATAGAGCTAGAAGCGATGCTACCCTGCGTCGCCTCAAACGGAGAGGCAATGCTCGAAGTGGCATGCAGACCACCTTCACTTGATGAAGCAGCAACGGGACAAACTGTCGTGTAAGCCTTGACAACCTCAGTCTGATAAACAGTCATTTCCGAGGCAGGACAATCCTTGACACTTGAGGGACAAGCCGTCACAGTCTGAGTGGATGTGCTGTACAAGGTTGACGTGGTGTACCTAGTACTGCTGATGTCGCTGTTAGTTGGCGATACTCTAGGCGCAGGAATACTGCTCGATGTCGTGCGTAAAACTGTCTCGCTCGGTGAAGCAGCAACCGGACAGATGGTCGTGTAAGCTTTGACAACCTCAGTGTAGTACACAGTCCTTTCGGAAGCAGGGCAATCCTTGACACTTGAAGGACAGGCCGTCACAGTCTGAGTCATCGTGCTGTACAAGGTTGAGGTGGTGTATTTGGTTTTGCTGAGAGCGTCATTCATCGCAGATTCAGCTTCCGAAGCATCAACTCCACTTGATTGTGCCACGTGAGTTGGAGATGCAGCCTGCACGGTCAAGTATGAGACAATTGTCTTTGTAGCGAGGAAAGTCGATTTCTGGGAGGCAGGACAATTCGTGACCTCAGGGGGACAAGCTGTAATGGTGTTGACGTCGGTGATGTATCTGGTCAAAGTGACGGGTGTCTGAGACTCATGGCTCGACACAGATGCGGAGATAATCTGTGCAGTAGCAGAAGTTGACAAAGCGGGGATAGCAATGATTACAGACGCGCTGCTGGTGAGATATGGCATATGAGCAGAGTTCGAGCTCGAAATATTCTGATAGATTGGAGAAGACGAAGCAGTGGCTTGAATGTTCGAGCTGATTGTGGTGTTCAAGAACAAAGGTGATGGCGAAGTGGAGCGCAAGATTTCTGTGCTGACAGCGGTGTTCAGAGCGGATACGACAGAGGAGGTCAGGTTGAGAATGGTTGACGAGAGTGAAGGTCTAGCGCTTGTGTGATTCGACGACGTATTAATGATTGTGACGTTGCTCACAGGCAAGACATTGATTGGCGCGGTGATGTTGCTGGCATTGATGGCAACGGGTACGACAGTTTGAGTCGTGACATTCAGCAAAATCCTAGGTGTTGACAGAACAATCGAGCTTGTGGTCGTGGCATTGACGGCGATGGGCACAAGACTCCGAGTCGTAGCATTTAGAGAGGTGTTAGATGTTGACAAGATGATCGAGCTTGTGGTCGTGTTCGAGGCTGGAACGAGTGACAAGGTGGATGTAGCATTAGATAAAGGATGAATGACAGTAGTGGCAGCTGCACTATCTGTAGTGTTGAACAGAATCACAGAAGATGAAGAAGAAGAAGTGCTCGTGGTCGTGGAGCTCGATGTGTCCGGGACTGAAACAGTGATAGTCTCCAGATAGGTGACCTCGTATGTTGAGGTGTAGACAACGGCTGACGTTTCAGCAACGGGGTAAAAATCGGTCGTGGTGGCTGTCGTAGTGACCTCGCATGGGTTGGTCGTGTAAACAGCGATAGCTCTGTCGGTGTACACGTCTGTCGTGGTAGTGAAGGATACATCTCCATTTACTAGGAAGTACTGTGCAAGACCCCCGATGCTTCTGACATTTATTCCCGCACACCTGGATGCAGGGTTGTTGAGACTGTTCAGAGCGGCACAAACACTGACTGGAAAGTTGTATAGTGCAGCTTGATAGGCGTAGGCGCGGATAGTGCTACCTCCAACGAGCGATGCGGAACAGTGCTGCTGCCAGTATTGTCCTGCAGACGACCAGACACTTTCAGTACAGGACGCATAGTATTGTACAAGCGTTGGTGCTGTGGTTCCAATAGTGCATGTCGTGGCTACGGAAGTGATCTCGGCCACACTCGTGACGGTTGATGTCGCAGTCTCGAAGCTTGTGGCGGTCACCGTGGTGGTCGTAACACCGAGTCTTGTGCTGAGAGTAGAGAGCGCATGGACAGACTGCACTGTTACAGCTAGGAATGCTGCAATCGACTCGAACCTCATAATGAAAAGAATGCCGGACAGAAACAATCCGTAGTGGGAAAGCAAATGAGTGAAAGAGAAAGATAAGCAGAGGGAAGATTAACGTTCGCAAGGGATTACAAGAATGATATAAAAGAGAGCAGAAGTCGATTCGTGCGAGCACACGCTTGATGAACAATAGCCACAAGAGGAGATTGAATCTCCACCAGAATGGTCAAAGATGGTCTACCTCTCAGCAATGTAACCAAAACTTCCAAGCTAGATTTTCATGTAGAAGGAGGCGCATTGTGACTTACTCAGGATACAGTCAATAGCGTAAGCCACGCTTGACTTCAGGGCTGCACGTCTAGCAAATCTAGTCCCTCCTCCGCGTCGCAAACGTGGACGAAACAGCTCTGATATTACCCTTCCAGAAGAAGTTCATAATGTAGGCTACTGTCAACCAATGCTCACTTGCACCGGAGATCCGCCACTGTGTGTTCAAAAACCACTGCTGTTGATGAAAAGGGCAAACCCCCATACCGAAAAGCTCTGACACCGGTCATCTCCGCCGTCAAGCCACGAGCTGAGTGACTTCATTTCCGCCATATACTATGTTGCTGTGAAGTAGCTTTCTCACTGATTCGGACTAAGAGAATTTGTCAAGGGCGAGATCACGAGCGTCCGGGTTGATAGTACACGAGGGTGTCGAGGTGTGAAAGGTGTGCAAGGTGCTCGCCATGCAACGGCGAAGGCATGCAACGGCGATCTTCTCCATCATATACCGAAGATTACCCAGGACGATGCTGCCGGTATCACCCTGCTCCGACACTGGATAAAGATCATCACGAGAGAATACCAGACGAGTGTGGATTCAATTGCTGTATCAGGGCTCTTTCATGCTGTGTGTTTGTCTTGACTTGTATAACTGTAATGATCTTCGTTGTAAAGTGGCTGTAGTGTCTCGTAATTGTGACCGACCTCAAGCTCCGCGCTGACAAACTTCAGGATGAACTTGGGTAAGGTTATTGTATCAAGGCTCTTTCATGCTGTTCATCTTTCTTGACTTGTATGGCGTTGACACTCTTGGCTGTAAAATGGATTGAATGTGTTGTGGTTCTTCTTGATCTCAAATGGTGTACCCGCGCGGATAGGGTGCTCAAGCCAAGGCCATAGTCAAAATGCAGAATGCTCAACCATTCTTGGACGACAAACAGCAACGAAATTGAAATAGAGGAAGAAAAATAGAATTAGAAACGTTACATTCATTCATAAGCTAGCATTTTACTTTGATGGTGGGGGGTGTATCATAATCTAAAGACGAGCCTGAAGCTTCTGCTCCTTTGCAATGTCGAAACGGTCCAACTCCATAACCTTGACCCAAGCAGCAACAAAGTCCTTGACGAATCTGTCCTGGCCGCTGGAAGAGGCGTAGACCTCAGCAATAGCGCGAAGCTCAGGGTGGGAACCGAAGATGAGATCGGCGCGAGTGGCCTGCCACTTCTTCTCACCAGTCTTGCGGTCCTGACCGAAGTAGATCTCGTCCTGGCCCTGCTGCCACTCGGTTTGAGTGTCGAGGAGGTTGACGAAGAAGTCGTTGGTAAGCTGACCAGGACGCTTGGTGAGGATACCGTACGATGAACCGTCGTAGTTTGCGTTGAGGGCACGGAGACCACCGACAAGGACGGTCATCTGAGGAGCGGAAAGAGTCAACAAGTGAGCCTTGTCAACCAAGAACTGCTCAGTGCGGACGCGCTGAGTACCCTTGCCGTAGTTGCGGAAGCCATCAACCTTGGGCTCGAGGTGCTCGAAGGACTTGACGTCGGTCTGCTCCTCGGTGGCGTCGACACGGCCAGGAGTGAAGGGGACGGAGATACCGGCAGCCTTCTCAACAGCAGCACTACCACCAAGAACGATGAGATCGGCGATTGAGACCTTCTTGCCACCCTTGGCGGAGCTGTTGAAGTTTTGCTGGACCTTCTCAAGGGCAGCAAGAGTCGACTTGAGCTGGGCAGGGTTGTTGGCCTTCCAGTTGTTCTGGGGAGCAAGACGAATGCGGGCACCGTTGGCACCACCACGCTTGTCACCTCCACGGAAGGTGGATGCAGAGGCCCAGGCGGTGGTGATGAGCTGAGTAGGGTCGACAGCCGAGAGAAGCTCCTTCTTGAGAGCGGAGATGTCCGAGTCGTCAATGACGGGGTGGTCAAGGTCAGGAAGAGGGTCCTCCCACAGGAAGACCTCCTTGGGGATCTCGGGACCGATCCAGCGAGAACGAGGACCCATGTCACGGTGCAACAGCTTGAACCAGGCCTTGGAGAAGGCATCGGCAAGCTCCTGAGGGTTCTCGGCGTAGCGGCGAGAGATCTTTTCGTAGGCAGGGTCGAAGCGAAGGGCAAGATCCGAAGTCAACATGCGAGGCTTGTGCTTGATGTTGGGGTCGTAGGCGTCGGGGATGAAGGCCTCGGCGTCCTTGGCCACCCACTGTTCAGCACCGGCAGGAGATTTCTCGTGCTCCCACTCGTATTTGAACATGTACTCCAGGTAGTGGTTGGACCACTTGACAGGAGTCTTTGTCCAGATGACTTCAAGACCGGATGTGATGGTGTCGGGACCCTTGCCTGACTTGTACTTGTTGTTCCAGCCGAAGCCCTGCTCTTCAATGGTTGCGCCCATGGGCTCGTCGCTGACGTTCTCGGTGGGACCAGCACCGTGGGTCTTTCCGAAGGCGTGACCACCGGCAATAAGGGCGACGGTCTCTTCGTCGTTCATGGCCATGCGGCCGAAGGTGGTGCGAATGTCGCGGGCAGAGGCGACGGGGTCGGGGATACCGTCGGGACCCTCGGGGTTGACGTAGATCAGACCCATGTGTGCTGCGGCCAAGGGTTCTTCGAGTTCGCGGGAGTGGATGTCGGTGTGCTCCTTCTTGGACTCGTCACCGTCGATGACACCAGGCTTGTCAGGACCGGCCTGACCGCTGGCATAACGAACATCGTTTCCGAGCCATGTAGACTCACCACCCCAGTAGACAGACTCGTCGGCCTCGAATGTGTCGGCACGGCCACCAGCAAAGCCGACCATGGGAAGACCCATCGACTCAATGGCGACGTTGCCAGTGAGGAGGAACAGGTCAGCCCACGAGATCTTGTCACCGTACTTTTGCTTGATGGGCCACAGCAGGCGGCGGGCCTTGTCGAGGGAGGCGTTGTCGGGCCATGAGTTGAGGGGAGCGAATCTCTGTTGACCATCACCACCACCACCGCGGCCGTCGAAGACGCGGTAGGTACCGGCCGAGTGCCATGCCATACGGACAAAGAGACCACCGTAGTGACCAAAGTCTGCGGGCCACCAGTCCTGAGAGTCGGTCATCAGGGCTGTGAGGTCCTTCTTCAAGCCTTCGTAGTCGAGACTCTTGAAGGCCTCGGCGTAGTTGAATGAGCTGTTGTAGGGGTTGGAGACACCGGTGTGCTGACGGAGAATGTTGAGCTTCAGGTCATTGGGCCACCAGTCCTTGTTTCTAGTGCCACCGCCGCCAGTGTTGACGGTCTTGTGGCTGGCCTTCATAGGACATCCGCTAGGAGGAGGAGACATGATGTCGAATGTGTGAGGGGATATGTGAAGAGGGAAAAGGAGAATGGGAAGGAGAAGAAAGTCAGGAGCAAGCAGGCAGGGAAGGAGAGACCCTTGTATATGTGTCGAAGATCAGGGTAGGGTAGGGTAGCTGCTAATGGCGCGGCGCCGACTCGGGGAAGCTACAGCCTGACCCCGCACCTGCTCGATTCGGATCATCATCACCATCAAATGGAACTCCCCGCCCTCGGTCGTTTAGACTTTGGCTCTTGCAACCAGCGGCAACCACCCGCTGACGGATCTTTCCATATGCTGACCATGACGTGAATCCGCTGCTCGAAGATGCAATCGACTGACATGCAGTCCAACAATTCATATTCCTGTTCCCTCGTCAGATAGTTGGTCGAGTCTTTCAGCTTCACAGCTCGTCGATACCCCTCATGTTCCTCACCGCGAAGAGTTACCCAACTTGGAAGTCCTAAGGTGACCTTCCAGGAAGAACTGTGGAGACGGCAGATCTGATGCCCGCATGCACGTCGTTACGCCCGCCGCGGCCAACCACCGTTGATGGATTTGTCTAGCCATGCCCTCGGTTGCGCGAACAACCAGTTGAACAAGCAGGTTTGTCCACGGCTTTCTCCGTCGTGCTATGATTCCAAAGCCCGATAAAGCTTGCCAGGACGGATCTTTTGGCGCGATGAGGACATGCCCCTCATCGTTACCAGCGGCACATGCCGTTCTGATGCTGACCACGACACCACGTGTATTTACACTTTGGGACATGGAATGCGAGAAACGACCCTGATGGAAAACCACAGAATCCGCCAGTCGGAAAGTGGAGGACTTTCTTCGGCAGCTTTCGAGCTCTTTGTCAACATCACTGCCGTGGTCATCCCAAGCTCTGTTTTGATCGCGGCCGCATACACTCCTTTCCGCTCGCTACTAACCACTTTGCATTGTTCCAGTAATTTCTTTAGAAGTACACGGCCAAGATGAGTGGAAGGTCTGTCGGATTCAAATGCCATGTGCACGGAAACCAATTTCCTAAGATCTTGAAGGAGGCCGCGACTCAAGCCTGACACAAAGCCTCTGTGTCTTCATCTTCAAGCTCAATCTCACTGGTAAAACCCATCTCGGACCTTGCGACAAGACAACGAAGCTCAAGATTGCGCACATTCGATCCCAAGAATGGGATCATACACGGATCTTGCCATGGAACCCTGAAACCACTCGGCACTTCTCATGCCACGGCATCTACCATCGGGCTACGACATCTAAGCGCACGTTTGAAATTGTAGCACAACGGAGCCATATCCGGTCTCAGCAACATGTTGCAGTCTCAACACTCGGGATCAGGGCTTTTACTGCTTAGTGAGACGGACGCGTCAACATTGACCGCTTTCCATTCGCGAATAAATCTATTGTAGCGTGCGAGGTAGGTTTGTAATACAGAAATGCGCAACAAGTCTCGCGAGGACCCAGAGAAGGGAGTATGCCTAGCATTTGCATGTGGTATATGCCGCAGAGAAACCTTTATCCCTCTTAAAGCCCTCCAAAAAGATAGAGTCTATGATCTGATAATTTATGTCTTTTCGTGTTCATCGTGGTCTGCTTCCGCTCTGTGTCATGTCTCTTCTCCATACCTAGATCTCTCTACACCACTTGCCCATCACCGCCCCCAACTCAACCTCTGCCTCTCCAATCTCCTCGAGTCTAACATCAACCCTATATCCTCCTCCCTTCCCCTCTGCCATGACCAATTTCCTTCTTTCCAACCCCTCCCAAGCAGTCTTACAAACTTCTTTACTCCATACCCTGCCTATACCGCCTCCCACAGCCATTTGTCCAGATGCCGAAGCAGCAATTTTGGCTTTGGAAGCTAGAGACACGTATTCGGCGTGGGCGAGGGCGAAAGTTACGGTCTCGGTGTCGTGGATGATGGTGAGGCGGGCTGCGGCGATGAGGAGGGCGAGTTGAAGAGTCGATAAAGAGGCTAGAGCTGCGAGTTTGGAGTCAGGAGGTGTGAGGAGGGATAGAGATGTCGTGTCGCTGAGATGGTCGAGCAAGTCTTCTGCTTGTACTGTGGAAGACCCAGAAGTAGGTAACGTGCTAACCGCCACCAACATGCTCGTGTGAAAAGCCCTTACGCTCTTATTCAAGTAATACAACCCTCTCAAATGCGTATTAAAGCTTTCGGCAGTAAACAGATCATTGACAATCTCTTTCCACACCTTGTTACCCTCTTCAGAAACCCCTTTCGCAGAAAACGGCATCAAAGCATTCTGACACATTTCTCTGAAGGCAGAAAGATTGGCAGCCGACGATAAATGCACATATCGGTGTGAAAACCTACTCTTGACTCTCTTCTCCAATTGCTCGACAACATCAAATCTCGTCGTAGTGCCAATAACAGCAATAGGAGCTTTTCTGCTCTGCGCAATGTCAAACAGATTATAAAGTAACGTCTGTCTTGGATGCGTAGTAAACAAATCAAACTCGTCAAGTACGAAGATAACAGATTTAGTGACTTGGTCTGCACTCCTGCCTAGTTCTTCGGGGTGAGAGAGGAGAGCCAGAAGTGTAGTCAATGTATCTGCAGCATTCTGGGCTGCAAATTCGTCTTCGGCATCTGCTTCTTTGCCTAGTTGGCGCCAGATGTCTCGTAAAGCGATCTTGTCGTCTGTATGGATGAACCCATTGAGCCTGACTACATGGAACAGATCTGGGTTTCGTAGGCACTGGTCTTGTAAGATTGTGTTTAGGACAGCAGATTTTCCAGTTCCGCGGGCGCCGATGATGAGGATACTGTTGCTCTCTCCAGCAACAATAGTCTGATCCACCACAGAAGCGAGTTTGTCGTATTCAGAGGAGAGACCAACGAAAGGTGTATGAGTTCGTTCTTGCAATTGGTCGAGGATGGCAGATTGGATAGCCAGGAGATCACTGCTGGAGATGGAGAGATTGGCCGAAGCATTCGTTTGTGTGGGTTTGACGTCCAGATCTATCATTGCTTTTGGTCGTGGTTTGAGGGGGCTGGAGATTGGTTTGCGAGGGTGGAATTGAGGTTGTCTTGTGCCATTGACGTCCCAGAGCATAGGACTCATAGCACGATGGTAGGGCTTCCTGGCAGAGGCGAGTTTGGAAGGACTCACAGGGCCATCGTCTTCGGTTGTATCCACTTCGACAATGGGGTGTTTCCTCGGTCGACCAGGCTTCCTCTTTTCTGTCGTTGGCGGTGGTTGCACCTTGACAGGAGATAGCGTCGATCTTTCTCCTTGGACTTCCCTTCTACTCGCATCCTGGATATCCCTCATTTGATCTTCCAAAGTTCGTTTCGGTTTTCTCTTCGCCGCCCTCTCCAATTGCTCTTGCTCAAACGACTCTTTCAGCTTCTGCGACAGCGTCTTGACCTTGGCACTCTTCTCCAACTCGTGCAGCTCTGGTTGTGAGGCAGCAGGAGTGCCATTGGAAACATTCTTGACGGGAGACTTTTGCGGCGACTGGCTCTCTGCAATCTTTGCGTTCAGCCGGGCCATCAGACCGCCAATCTTGCTGTTGCTCTTGGTGGCCGAGGTGGGCGCAGGTCGCGGCGTAGGCTTCGAAGGTGTCAGATTGAGTGACGAGGGCGTAGCGACACTAGCAACACGGATCGTGTCGCGGACTTCATGTTGGTCTCGTCGAGGTGTCTTGTTGGCGGCGCCAGGCGGTGGTGCTGGTGCTGTTGCTGTTGCTGTGGTGCGTTGGGGACTTTCTGGTATTGTCTCGAGCTTTCTGCGCTTTGGTGAGCGTGGCGACTCCATTGTGGCTTGTGTTTGCTGTTCTTTGCTACGACATTTGGTCGAGTCGAGGTTTAGTCGAGGTTTGTGTTGATTGTTGATGTTGTTTTGTCAAGAAACCTCGTCATGGCTGCACGACCCTGTGGGGAAACTTTCTCTCGACTTTGCTGCAGCACAATTTCACAACCATCAATGACCTTAGCAGGGGACAATTGGAATTTGACCAGGCTTTGTTCAAAGGTTTGATAGAAAATGCAGTTTTCAGTCATTTGACTCTACAAAATTGGCTACCTTTCTCCATGCAATGCAAGACATTCCAGCAACGCCATGTATAACCCATGCCCCAGAAATGCTAATACCTTGATGTTTCTCTGCGCTTCGCCTCGCTCAATCTCGCAAACCTCTCGGTCAATCCTCCTTCCTCATTCACAGTCCTCTTCAGTGGGCTTCCTTGGGGTCTGCCATCTGGCCTCAGCAACTGTCGGCTCGCACTCTTCCGCAACGGACTAGCAGCATGACTGTACACTCCCAAGCTTCCCCCATCTCCCATTCTTTTGATCGGGCTGGGCGGTCGCTCGCGCCCCAACGCCCGTGTCTTGCCTGGCGTGTTGAAAACATCTGTCGGCTCGTGTGTTGCTCCAAACGACGACATTGTGTTTGTGTTGAACGACGAAACTGTACTATAGCTTCCAAACGTCGGCTGCAGTGATGGAGTGGTCGCGCTTCTCGGCATATTCTTGGTCGGTGAAGTGGCGTACAGGGCCTGGGGGTCATCTGTGAGGTGACTGGCGTAGGCTGGGTTGGGGTTGACCTTGAACCCCTTGTTGATGACGGTGTGTGGTGTGTAAACGTCGGCCTCTCTTGTTCTGATCCTTGCTCCTCCAGGGCTCGTGGCCGTGTCTCTTGTCTGTGTACCGACATCGCGCACCGGACGGTTCATGTTGGGGTGAACAAACTTGGTGTCGTACTCGTTCATGACTTCCTTGTGGATCAGGGTCGAGTCTTTTGCCTGCTGGACAAAGAATTTTCTAAAGAACGACAGCTGTACGCTCAAGAGGGCAGCGAGGAGTATTGTAGTGACGAAAGTGACCGAGGGACGAGGATCGGCAGCGCTTGTGGGTAGGAAGAGCCAGTAGACGAGAACGTGGCCGGGCGAGAAGAGAGCAAAAAGTTCGAGGTTGAAAGGCTTGGGGTCCCAGACGCTGACTTCCCAGACATCGTTGTGCTGGTCGGGATGTCGTCGTGAAAAGACATTGTTGGAGGAGATGATGGACGAGAAGTAGGCGAGCGGCGAGGCAGAGGGTGATGAGTCGACGCGCACTCGGCGGGCTGAAGGAGTTGATGGCGCTTGATCGATGGAGCTCTCGAAGAGGCGGTACTTGCGTGACCGAGTAAAAGTGTAGAAGGCGTTGAACAGCGATGCGAAGGCGAGGAAATGCGCGACAAACGAGACCTAAGCAATCAGTCAGAGAAGGCGCATGACAGCAGCAAAGAAAGGCACTCACAAACCAGTAGAACCAGCCGCTCTTGGCCTCGAACTCGCCAAAGATGTCGTAGTCTGGACTCTTCTTCAAGCTCCATCGGGCGCATGCAAAGACCAGGTTGGCTGTGACGCCAATGGGCAATCCCCAGTCGCGGAGAGCTTCATCCAGAGCGCTCTCGTGCAGTTCCTCGGCGATCCAGAGAAGAAGGTCGTAAGGGTTGAGGAAAGCCTTGATGCGCTCGGACAGGGGAGCACGACGGATGATGGGCGGCATCTTGGGCTTGTCGTCGTCGCCGTCTTTCACATGCTCGACGGGCGCAAAGAAAGAAAGTCGGTGTTTGTTTTGCGGGCACGCACTTGGGGAAGGTGCAACAGTGACGTCGGCGGGCCCGGAGTTCAGCCGCCAACTCGTGCCCGCATACACCAGCAGCGACAGCAACATTCATTGACAAGAAGGACACAACTGGCAGACATCATGGCTCTTCCGCAATCTGCCTACAAGGACCGTCAGTTCCTTGCTGTTATTGGTGACGAGGTGCATATCCCTCCTCCTGCCTTGTTCCTCTGTTCCATGCCCCGACTGACGCTCAACCTCTAGGACTCAGTGACCGGTGTCCTGCTCGCCGGAGTCGGAGTATGAACATCTTCAATGCGCACACTCTGGACAGCCCTCTGACCTCGCTGGACAGCACGTCACCGACCCTCCGGACTCGCAAAAGAACTACCTCGTTGTCGACCACAAGACCGAGACGCACGCCATCGAACAGGCCTTTGACAGCTTCACCCAAGAGCGCAAGGACATTGCCATTCTCCTCATCAACCAGCACGTACGACTCTCACATCTGAGTATAAGGACAAGGAGACAAGATGCTCACACCACTCTCAGATCGCCGACAAGATTCGCAGCCGTGTCGACTCGTACACCCAAGCCTTCCCCTCGCTGCTCGAGATTCCCTCCAAGGACCACCCATACGACCCCGAAAAGGACAGCGTCATGAAGCGCGTCAAGAAGTTGTTTGGAGAGTAAATTGATACCCGCACGATACCCTTGAAGATGATTATTACTTGCTATACATATACTGCAATGCTCAAATGCCACATGCGCTTCAATGCCTCGTTTCATTCCATTATACGTGATGCAACCTCCTCAATCCTCTTGCTCCAGCCTCTTGATTACACAATCTAGGCGACAACCTCGACGGCACCGCCTCTCTTGAAGATGACGGTGGCGGTCAAGCAGGTGATCTTGTCGTTGTCCTTGGTGTAGACATCGGCGAGCACAGTGTACTTGCCCTGAAACAGAGGTCAGCGCAGGTCTTTCACTATACTCAAAAGTGCAGCTTACCGGAGGAATCTCCTTGGGAAGATCGACATCCTTGGTCAACTCCATGGGACCCTTCTTCAGAGGACACTCGAGATCGACGTTCTTCAGGTTGTCGCACAAGTCGGCTTCCTGGTTGATGATGCGGATCAAACCATACTTGACTTGCAGGTGCACCTTTGCGCCCTCCTCAATGTCCTCGGACAGAACACCAGATGCCTTGATGGACAGAGTGACGCCACTGGAAAACACCCCAATAAATAAGCTTCTGCAGTCGCGATAAGATGACTGAATAGAGAAACTCACGCAGAGGGAGGGTTGGGAGACAGGTCGACCTTCTCAATGGCGAGAATGTTGTCCTTGGGGGCGGCGCAGAAGAGCAGAGGGTTGTCGCCTGGAACGGGGAACTCCTCTTCGAGCGCGTGCTGCGAGTCGCTGCCCATGAAGCTGAGACTGCGCGCCGAGGCGCTTGCAGACAAAAGAGCGACGCTGAAAAGACTGAGGAACTTCATTTTTGTGGTTTCTGTACGTGTAGGATTGGTGATGAGCGAAAGAAAGTTCAATCAAAGAGGTCGAGATGCGGTTGTGTCACTGAGCGCTCGCCGTTGGCGATGATGCTGGGCCGTCATGCACGTGTCGCTAAGTGGCGTTTGATGGTTGCCTTGGCACCGCCTCTCCGCATTCGTCAGGTCCATCTCCACGCCGCTGTCTTCGTTCTTTTCTCCGATGGCTTTGACAGCTGACTCCTCGCCAAGGCAACACCACTATCTCGATGCTGCGTCCAATACCTCTACACAGTCATTTCTCAAGTTGGTGGCAGGAGATCTTAGCATGTCCATTCGCTTCTCTCATATCTTCAAGTCTCCCTAAGCAGAACCATGTCTTGATCAAGTTTTCATTAAGTGCATGTCCTGCAGCACTTTGCTATCATCATACTAATCTACAGACGTGTTCTCATCATTCAATTTGTGAGATGCGTCTTTACTTGTCTGCGGGATCAAGAGGTCTCTGGCCCTTCTCCTCGACATTCTGTCTCTTCTCGCTGGCGGAAGCATTGGGGTCTTGCTTGAAAGCCTCCTGCGTGCTGCTGTCCTCGCCCTGCTGGCCCGTAGCTGCTCCCTTGGGGTTGCTCACAGGTGTCTGCACGCTGGCTGTGTCTGGTGATCCGGTGCTGGCATCGGTAGCTCGCGACTGATTGATGCGGTTCGACTCTGGGCTGGAGCTGGTCGGGTTGCCGACATTGGATGCCGTGCCGGGACTGGCTTGTCCGGCTGTCGAGTCCATGTTTTGCTTGCCGGCGTAGCTGCGTACGACTTGATTTGTGTCAGTATCTGATTTCAATTGCTGTCTCAGCTTGTCCGAGACTCACAGGTCACAGGACGTAGAGGTCGTGAGATGGCGATGCGGCTGCTGCGCATAATAGAACTTCTCATGATTGACATTGTGAGGATCTTGTGGATTTTAGTTGAAGAGTTGAGGTTGTATTGTCAAAGGTAAGGCCTGCAGGTACGTGAAGCTCCTCTTTTAGTACCTACATGGTCATGACGTGTTCATGATGTCGAGCATCCTTGTCCTCCACTTTTGCCCATTTCAACTTCGGACTTTATTCATTTGAACAACATCTTGCGTTTGTGGACGGTCTTTATTCAGGAGCAAGACCGACGTGACACTCAGAGTCATGCTGATCATGTCTTGAAATTTTGGTGAATACCTAATTGGGTCTCGGTCACTTGCATCTTATTCACTGATAGACGAACGCGTTTCTGTCTCATGTTTCGTAGTCGTGGGTATGCACATGCAGGTGCTTAGAGTCGTGTCGTGTCGTGTCGTGTAGCACAAGCTGCTGCCTGAGGAAGGCATTTCACTCCAATCGAATCTCTTTTCCTCATGTCGTGCATCTTTCTTTTTCCTTCTCCAGAGCGAGTCCAACACGACCTGCGTGTATCGAGCAAACAAGCTCGAGGACAACCGCTCTGGACAGTCATTCCGGTCACCCTTGTCCCTCTGCGCAAAGCCGTTTGCCCTCGCCAAACATGCCTGCTTTCGTTGAAACTTCTGCTGCGGCAGGTCCCATCACGCGCGAGATGCTGTTCCAGCTCATGGTTCTGGCACGCGACACATCCTTTCCGGATGCCCAGATTCGCGCCATCTGCGACACCATAACTCAGGACAATGCCCACGATTCCATCGAGCTATTGCGCCGCCTTCACGCCAGTCAGGACACTTCCTTGGTTCTTGCTTCCGCTGTAGGCTCCGTCAAGCTAACTGCCACTCCCCGAAGCAAGCTTCCACCACGCCAGTCGTCTTCTGAGCCTGGCGCCGTCTTGTGTGCCGACACATTCTACAGGCTGTGCAAAGAGACCGTGTCAAGCTGCAACGCCTCGGCACGTTCTGTCCCTTCACCTTGAACTTCCGGAAGTGTCCTCATGGTCGTGCATGTCAGCTGAAGCACATCTGTTGGGTATGTCCAGCTGCTCTTGGTGTCTCTCACATAGACTGACATACGCAAAGGACACACAATGCAGACGACCAGCTTCTTGCAATTTCTCTCATGAAGTGACTCCAACATGCGACACAGTCTTTGATGGTACCCGTTGTGCCAGAACCCGAAGACTCGTCAACGACGACAAGAAGAGAGCGTGTCCTCGCAACCACGATTACAAAGTGCGCCTGTTCATGGGCGCCATGCATATCCCTCATGAGCTTGGTTTCTATGGAGTCGACAATGCCCACACCGGTCTCAGCATCACTCCTCCTAATGAGATTCATGATGCCGTCAAAGCTTCTTGGAGGGCCCCTAATACGGAGGACAAGCACAGTCAGCGCGAGGAATCTCTCACTATCGCTGAGGTTGGGGAGAACGACATTCCTGAAGAAAGTCACGAGGAGACTGCGGTAGATGATTCGCGTTCTGGGAGCGACTTGATCTTGTTCACTTAATCCTTATTCGCTTCCCTGAAGTCATAGTGGTCAAGGTTTCAGGAATCTTGATGTCTTCCTGTCCAAGTAGGTCTGGTTAACCGCATGTTGTGTCCAATGGTCACTCTTGGTAGACGATGCGTGCAATCACAATTGAAATAATTTTCCACTCTTGTCTTTTCGTCCCGGGCCCTTCACTTCCTCGCGTACCCAGCGTCTATCGCCCTTCACTTCCACCGACTTGACCATTCATTACTTTCCTCTCTCACACGAACTCTTTCCTCTTCTTCTGCATCCAACTCTTTCGATTGAACACCCAACATGTCCCCTGCTCAGGCACCACCTACTCAAGATCCTCTTGACGCTCTCGACCACAAACGCCTTCCAGAGCTTCAGTACCTCAGCACATTCTGTCCCTTCAGTCTCAACTCTAAGCCCTGCCCTCAAGGCACAAAGTGCGCGCTCAAGCGTCTCTGCTCCGTGCGCATTTCCGCGACGCCATTCACTTACATTCAGAAAGCTTACATTTTTACAGGTCCTCTGCGCTTTCCGCACCAAGCGCGAGTACTGCGACGGCCACCATGATGTTGCTCCACTCTGTGAGCAGTTCTTGACTGACAAGGGCTGCAAGTACCGTAAGGAGGATGATCATCCTTGGCTTGCTAGGAGTCATGATGTTGAGTTGAGATGTTGCATGGATGTCATGCTCAAGCCTCATCGTCTTGGTCTTTATGGTGTGCAGCACTTTTGATGGTTGGGACTTGGGAGAGGTGATGTTGGGGATGCTTCACTTCGAGCAGCATCTGCAAACCTCTGGTATCTGTGGTATTGGCTGTTTCCTTTGCTCTTCCTCCCGCTGCGAAAACAAGATCTTCCTTCCCAGGATTGATTCCGACTTATTGAAGCAATTTGGCCACGATCTCGTCCGCAGTCTCATCCTTGACTCCCAACAACTCCGCATCCGAGTCTTCTCTCGACGGTGCAATCCTCCCTCTCCCCTGCCCAACATCATACAAAGTAGCAACTGCCAATTTCAACCTCCACATCCCTGCCCCAGCCTCAAAATCACCTTTCCCACTCTCAATCAATTCTTTACTCGTTGACCTTGTGACCTCCCATTTTTGTCCCGTAGCCTTCTCGAAAGCATCTAAAAGCTCATTCTGACATGTGTTGATGCTTTGGACTTTTAGGAAGCAGTTTGCTGTAGCCTGAGGGTTTTGGAGTGTTCTCACTACTGCTTGTCCGATACCTTCCAATGTTGTGCCGGTGAACCTTTCGGTTCCATTGTCGTAGATGATTGCTCTGTGGTTTGCGACGTCGAAACCCATCATTGGGAATTTCTTCATTGCCTGTGTTTTGACGTCAGTATCTTCACTTTCCCTCGATCGCGTTGACCCGGCACTTTCACTCACCCAATCAATGGGATTTCCAGTCGAGAGGCCTGTCCATGTAAAGCCATCTACTTCTCTGGCTTTGACGGCTGCGTAATCCCAGCCTTCTTTTCTTGATGCATGTATAGTATTGAATTGTGGGAAGCCTTTGGTCGTAGGTCCCCACCCGAAATCGTCGATAATGAATCTTTTTACTCTTGCGATTACAGCAGCATCAATGAAGGTCTTTTGCAGTGCGATACCTCCAGGGCCTACGACACAAACCACTGCATCTTGGTTTGTAAAGGCTTGGGTCAGGGTGTCTAGGGAGTAGTCGATGCGCACAATGGGGATGTTGGGGGGATGGATTGTTGTTGATGATGAGCGGGTTATTATCGTAATGTTGAAACCTGCTGCCACAAGAGCAGAGGTTATGGGGGTGCCGAAGTTGCCAGAGGCCTGTTTGGTTATTCGGTCAGCAGGAGACCAGGGGATGCGATTGCTGACTTACACCCAGGATGGCGACGTTCTTGATGGTTGACATGATCTGAATTCAGGCTGGAGGTGAAAGCGTTTCGTGAGCGATACAATAGATTCGGGGTCTTGGATACCTATTGACTGTGGGGCAGAAATCCTTCGCGTGTTTCCTGCTGAGTCACAATTGTTGATGCAGGCAGCAGCTTTTTCGCAAAAGGGGCCACACGTTGCGCAGGTAAGATTTGTTGAGGCCGGATCAGTGTGTTCTGGTAGAAAAGCAGTATCTTGCTAAGCAGTAAGTTTTCCCCCCTCCTACCAAGCGGTATGCTGTCCAACTCAGGGTCCAAGCAATAAAGTTGGGTGTTCTGCGACTGTGGGGCTGCCACGTTTCCTGGGCAACAACAAGCCGAACTCTAGACCTTATCGTGCGGTGATCAAAAGCAGACTACGGTGAACAATTCGTCAAGCAGGTACAAGAAGTGCTAGACAACCTCATGAGATGCGAGACATCGTGACTTGGCTCCAACGTCCTTAGTAGCTTTTAGGAAGATCCGAATAAGATCGATGGACACTCAAGCGGACTTGACGCCGATCGAGTGTGGTCAAGAGGCAGCAAAGCACTTTGTGTTTGACGAAGGATATATCAATCTCAACCATGGTCTGTCTCATGCTCCACTTCCTTGAAGGACTTGCTCACGAATTGACGTAGGCTCATACGGAACACACCCCATCGAAGTCAGATCTGTGCATCGCAAGTACCAGGAACGAGCAGAGGCAAGACCAGATACCTTTGTCCGTTACGAGCTGCGCACTCGTCTTCTCAAGGAAGCAAGACAAGCTATCGCAGACTACGTCCACGCTCCTATAGAGACATGTGTTCTAGTACCAAATGCAAGCACTGGCATAGATACGGTCTTGCGCAACTTGATCTTCAAGCCACAAGATGCTGTCATTTGTTTTTCAACGATCTACCCGGCGTTTATGAATACATTGGACTATCTGGCAGAAAGGAGCGAGTTCAGCATCCTCAAGATTGAGCATGACCTTTATCTCTCGGACGACGAGATCTGCAAAGTCTTCGAAAAATTCTTGGAAAAGATCTCGGATGATGGAAAGAAAGCCAAACTCGCAATATTCGATACCATCACTTCCTTGCCAGCTATTCGAATGCCTTTCGAACGCCTGACCGAAATCTGTCGTTCACATGGGGTGTTATCATGCATCGACGGCGCTCACGGAGTCGGTCAACTCCACCTCAATATATCTCAGCTCGATCCAGATTTCTTTGTCAGCAACTGCCACAAATGGCTCTTTACACCTCGAAGCTGCGCAGTCTTGTACGTCCCGGCCCGAAACCAGCATCTCATCCGCTCAACACTACCTACTGGATTTAATTTCCGCAAGAAGGAGAAAGCAGCAAAGTCCAACAACTATGTGGCCAATTTCGCGGCTGTGGCTACGACTGACGATACGCCGTATCTCTGCATTCCTGCTGCATTGGAATGGCGTAAGCGTATCGCTTTTGGTGAAAAGACTGGCGAAGAAGCAATCATCAGCTACAATAAAGAGCTTGCACGGAAAGGTGGTCAACTAGTGGCAGACATACTAGGCACAGAAGTCTTGGACAATGAGGAGTTGACGCTTGGAGATTGTGCCATGACGAATGTACGTCTACCTGTCGGTTCTGAAAAGTGCTCAGAAAAAGTGGCAGACTGTTTGAACAGGACCATGAATCGGAGGTACAATGTCGCTGTCAATGTATACTACTACAGACAGGCTTTATGGGTCAGACTCAGTGCTCAAATTTATCTCGAGCTACAGCATTTTGAGGCTGCTGGAAGAGTGTTGAGGGAAGTTCTCATGACATATGCTGTAGATGACTCTAGATTGATGGATTGACATTGATACGGGAAATTTGATTTCATTCCAAGAACAAACAAGAAGAGGGGTCGTGAAGCGAAAGTCAAGTTTAGAGAGAACTGGCAGAGATGAACTAAGAACGGCGATCAAAAGATGCAGACTGAGTGATCAAGGTCTCTTTGGGGGCTGGAACTCTGTACAAGAATGCCAGTTACGCTTGGTGCAACAGGTTGCGCGGTCATGCATCGAGCTCGAGAAGGTGACGTGCGAAGCGTCAGGTGCTGAGATGCTGATTTGTTGGCCAGGCTGGAAATAAGTACCGCTCTGGACGATAGAAGTGCTAGCGCCGTCTGCGAACCAATAAGTTTGATGTCTGGCAGAGTTTATGATGGAAAGACTTACTAATGACCACTTCCGCATGTGCTGACGGGCCTGGATCTTGGACGACGTCGTAGTACTTGTATTGAACCTGTCCAGGACGATCTTCGAAGTAGGTGATGGTGAAGTGGTTCTGTTGGTGGCCATATCGGTAGGTACCAACATACCATGAAAACACAATCGCGCGCGAGCCTTCTGGACCAGTAATGCTGTGGAGTCATTCTTGTCAGCAAACAGTAGTAACACCCGGCAAATAGAGACGTACCGATAGAAAACACCGTTGCCACCATTGTAAATGTACAGCCCCTGACCTTGGTCAGCGAACGCAACCAGTGTGGCAGAGTTGCCGATTTTGAGCTATTGGAGCTGTCAGTTTCTTGTTGCTACATAGTTTTGTTTGCTCCAGACTTACATAGCCATTCGTGCCAACAGTGATGACGTTGCTGCTTTGGCCACCAATGCTCATCTCGAAGGGAATCTGGAGCGTCTGCTCGGTAAAGGCATATCGTCTGCCTGCATCTCCAACACTATCACCATTCCAAGCACCCCAGATTGGAGTAAAGGGTTTAGGGTTTAGGGTTTTTAGGGTTTTTTAGGGTTTTAGGGTTTTTAGGGTT